GCCTGGGCGGCCTGGCCTGGACGGGGCGGGGGAGGCCATGGCCTCGGCCGAGTTGCAGGGGAAGTACCAGAAGCTGGCTCAGGAGTACTCGAAGGTACCCATCGTGGGCGGGGAGTAGGGGGTCCCCGGTCCTGTGGCCTCGGGTTGCCTTGGCAGCGACTTTTCGGGACGGAGGGGGACTGCGGAGGGGGCAAGCGAGCGCGCCCCTCCTTTCCCCTCCGCCTCCTCTGTCCACCATTACCGTGCCTCCACCTGCAGCTCCCAGGAGATGGGGCCGGGCGGTGTCTGGGTCCGTGTGCATTTCTGCAGGAAGGAGCTGGAGTTTGATTCTTCCTTCTCGCTGAAGTAGCGGGTTTGGGGCTGGGATGTCAGAAATCCTGACTTCCTGCCTCTGGTGCTGGCCGGGGAAGGGGAAGGGAAAGGTGTGGACCACCCCTCACCTCGCTGCTTCCTCAATTTCCCCCGCCCAGTGAGTGGGCAGATCGGCCTTTTTCCCTTCCTACAGGGATGATAAGAGGTTAAAGAGACTTATCTGACACAATCAGTTCGAGAGGGTAAATAGAGTCATAGTGTAAACTGCTTCATTGGAGATGGGTGGTTACGAATGTATCCAGGACTTTGGCAAGATGTCTGCAATGATTTTGAAAGCTTGAGTGCTAGGGTTGTGTCCTTTTCTCTGTCTTGTGCCTCGGTCACCTGGAATGGGGCAGAGCACCCAGCAGGTGCTCAATACATAGTAAGGAAAAGAAGGACCTGCTCCTTAATCATGTTTATGGCATCAATCTTTTTAAATGATGGAGCCTTTCAAAAGGATGATGCAGTTTCTGCCTTAAGAATATTTTAATGAAGTTATTAGAACAGAATCTTGCATCTTTGAAATCGATTCAACAGTCATTAAGCTAGTTTTCAATGATCTTGCCATTCATGAAATCAACGGAAAGAGTTAGCCCCTTTTTACAGTTTGGAGAAACTGAGATATATTTTTTCCCATGTGATTTCATTCAACAAATCTTCAGCAAGATGAAATATTCTTTGAAAAATAAAACCTGTGCCTAAACATACACACTTCACCATCACATAGAAGCCTTTTGAGATACCACACTTATTTCAATGGTGCTGCCATCGCAAAGTTTTTTTGCATTTCCATTTGAAGTGTCTTAAGAGCCTGTGGCAGACTGTCAGTGATGGCAAATTTTCATCCTTTGAAGGAGGATTTCCTCATTGGAAAGGGCCAGAAGGTGTTTGGAACAAATCCATATGATGAAGGGGGTTGGGTGGAGCATGGCAGTGCTCAAACTTGGCTCTACTATTTTTGGTTGAAAATGTTTCATGAGCAAAGTAAGGGGACTGAAGATTTTCTTCTCTGGAGAGTAAACAAGCTCAAAAGGCAATTTCAAGTGGCAGAAGAAGAGTTCCAAAAATGTTTTGAGCAGGGATTACATTACTGAAATAATTGTATAACCTCCCAAAGTAATAAAAACCGAAAGATTTTATTCTTTTGAATAGGTATGCATGTTCAACAGGCACTTAATATGTGCCCCCTGTGAGCACTTGGCCAGGGTCTGTTGAGGGAGACAAGAGTTCCAACTTAAGGAGTCACTAATAGAATGTTCAAACATGGTACATAGTTATGATACAGAATGACAAGTGTTAGTTCAGTGGGAATACAGAGAAGATTTTGGGTAGGGCTTGAAGTTACTTAGTGTGGGGATTAGGGATCAGGGAAGGAGGGAATGGTAGCTTTCAGGCAAAGGGAACAGCCTGTGTTTCCTGTCATGAAAAATTTGGTTAAGATACATGGCAGAGAGTGGTTGAGTAGGTAATTTGGACCTGATCATGGAGGGCTGTGGATGTCAAATAAGATGTGTGAACTCTATTGAGTAATGGAGAGATGTCAAAGGCTAAGAAGAGGAATGACTTTACTTTTAGGAAACAGTATAGGGGATGGATTGAAATAGGTAAAGATTGGTGGAAAGAAGCCAGACAGTAGACTGCTAGATAGTTTTGGGGAGGGTAATGTAGGATTCATTAAAGTTAGTAAATTTGGGGATGGAGAGGAGGGGCTAGATTCAGGAATTATGGTCAAAAAGATACTTTTTAGCTTTTCTCTTTTTTGAGTGCCGGCTATGTGCTTAGCACTCAACTTAGAAAATATATAGGGTGTATAAGGTACTCATCCTTGTGTCTCATGCATTTTTTGGGACTTGGTGAGTTAGGGAAGACTCAGAGTTGAAACTGAAGTTCTGAGGTGAGAGAAACATGACTGCTACTGACATAGTGAGGGCCAGCAGGAAGGAGAGCCCATTTGAAGTGAAGGGGTGTATTAAAGGTTAGGTACAGTCATGGAACTTTAGGGTTGGAAGGCACGCTAAATTTGTGGTATCCACATCTTAGTTTGAGGTGATATTGGGGTAATTGCTAAAACTTTCCAATGGAGATAGACTGGCTAAAAGTCAGGACAAAGGCTAGCGCTTTTGTGATAATTTCCATCAAGGTGCACTTCAAGAGTTAATGAGGGTGGAAACTGTGGGAACACCCGTGGGAAGGATGCGCCAGGAGGATGACTAGATGCTAAGGAGACTGTAGGTGGTCTCACACGCTTAGGGTTATTTCTCTATTGGGCCAGATCATTTTTCAGTCTATTAATTGCAATGTGATAGAGATTTCAGAACACAAGAGAACAGAAATTGGTTAAAAGATTTTATGTGCTTTTATTCTCTGTCAATTCTAGTACTAGACTATTTCTAGATAAGATCTGTGCTCTCTCCAGCCCTGTGCCTGTGGAAGGAATATTCTACCTTTTTATTATCTTCCCTGGTACAGAAGTTGTGGGCTGATATTGAAATCCAGTTACATTGTTTTTCTGACTTATTTAGGATACAAAGGAGAAAGATTTCCTCTTAAGCTGTAGAAGGAAGCCTGTCAAGAGAACAGCAAGCATGATCCCTAAACAAAGGACATTTGCAGAGTCTTATTCTTCTTTAATGGAGATCTCAGCCTGTATTCCAGAAAAGAGCTCATTCTTCCTAATCTTTTTTCCTTCTGAGAAGGAAAAAGAAAAGAAAAACCAACAGTCTGAGGAACTCCTATATAAGAGCCCAAGAAACTAGTTAGATAAAAAATGAACTGTGGAGGCTAAAGCAGATGAGAATGAGAAACCTGTTTGCTGGGACAAACAGGTTGCTCAAACAAAATGTTATGGAAAGGTCAGTAAAAGTGAAGATTAAGACCCCAGTGGTTTGGGCAATTAGGGAGATCATAAGAGACTTTTAAAATTTCAGGTTCAATAGAGTGGGGGAGGCAGAAGGTATATAGAAGCTGATTTTTTAGGGGTTTATGAAATTAATAGGTAATAGATACAAGTCATCTCTCTGAGATGTGAGAGAAAGCTAATCAAGACTTCAGTGACAACATTCTAGATTAAGAATGAAAGCTCATTTCTTTCTTGCTGTTTCTTCCATGGCCTGCTCTGCTTCTCATGCGGTGGTATATCTCATTATGGAGAAGAGAGGCGAAATGTATTCAGTTCTGGCTCATTTATTTCACTGTGTAAGCAAGTTTCAAGTTCTAACTGTCTTCCCAATGTTTGTGTTACGCTGGGTCAATGATGCTCAAAGTGTGAGCCCTGAGCCAACCGTATCTGGACATGAGTTGGAAATATAAATTCCCAGGCCTACCCTGGGCTTACTGAATCCGTACCTGGCAGTGGGACCCAGCCATCCATATTGTAACAAACCTCTCCAGTGATTTGGGTACATGTTATCATTTGAGAATCATTGCTCAAGAAATGGTATCAGGATAGTGGCTTTGACCGAGATAATTATTTTAAAGCTTTTTTTTTTTTTTTTTTTTTGAGGCAGTGAAAGCCAGTGGGAGAACCAAATATCTATTATTTCTCTATAGTTTACTTTGCAGTGATGCTTCTTTTAATTCCAAAGGATTGCCTTTGGGAACTCTTCTGACTTATGCTCTTAGAACAGAGCTACTCATACTGGGAAAGGGTCAGTTTTGATCCGGCATGTTTGTTCTCTAGGTAATGGGACTTTGGTGAAGCTGATTAATCACCCACTCACGTAGAAAAATAGACTCAGAACTGGACTGAATTAAAATCGGGTATCAGCTTTTTCCCTCCCTGATGTGGTAGGTAGGGTTCACTACTAAAGTTGGATTGAAAAACTGCTTTGTGCTCAGTGCTACCCAATGGAACTTCCCACGAGAATGAAAATGTTCTGTATCTGTGCTGTCCAGCAGGGTAATCACTAGTTATGTCTAGCTATTGAGCACTTGACATGCAGCTAATGTGACCGAGGAGTTGAATTTTAAGTTTACATAATGTTAAATATTTAAATTTAGGTAGCCACACATGATTATTGATAATCTGTTGGACAGTGCTAGATCAATGCCTCACAGATGTGAATGTCTAAGTAACTCACTCCAAGTAAAACCTTGTTAAACTGTAGATTCTGGCTTAGTAGTTCTGGAGTGGGGCCTGAGATTCTGCTCCCAGGTGATGCTGTCGTAGTTGTCCAAAGATCACATTTTGAATAGCAAGGCCCTAGGATGATGAGGGGTGCCTTACACTTCCTCATTAGTTCAACTGAGTTGCCCACTGAGCCACCGATGGGGCAGCTAAACTGCAAGGGTTCTGTCCCGGAGAGTTTCTCTATGTGGGAGCAGGAACAGGAGAAAATATTCCATTTGAGGGCAGGTCTGAGAGGAGATTTTTCTAAGCTAAGTGACAAAATAACCCAAGCTACTAGTTGATAGAAGTAGCCTGCACATACTCTATCCCTCTCCTAGGATAAGAACAAGTAAGTAGGCAGAGAGCAAGGCCAAGTGTTATTCCCCATACTTTAGAATTCTTTTTTTTTTTGCGTTGGAGTCTCACTGTCACCCAAATTGGAGTGCAGTGGTCACTCCCAGCCACTGCAGCCTCGACCTTCTGGGCTCCAAAGATCCTTCCGCCTCAGCCTTCTAGGTAGCTAGAACTACAGGCACGCGCTACCACGCCCGGCTCATTTTTTAAATTTATTGTAGAGATGAGGTCTCACCAAGTTGCCCAGGTGGGTCTCGAACCCGTGGACTCAGGCAATC